TGTCCCAGAAACACAAGTCTCTCCCCACAACCAGTTTAAGCGAGATGGGCAAGAACAGAGAACATTTTAAGACACCAGCTTTTTCAGCATTTCCATTTCAGTTTGCACTGATATGTTACTTTCAGTATACTATGTCCGCAACCTATGTTCTGGGGATCACACCTAATGCCAAAATTGCATATACTCAAAACACATTGGATTCCATTTTTGGTTGGGACTGCCAAAGCCATTTTCCCCAGAGCCCTGCGCCCACTTTTAATTTAATAAAATACTTTGCCAATTCAATAATAATAATAATAATAATAATAATAATAATTTATTACTTATATACCGCCCAAATGGCTGGGTTTCCCCAGCCACTCTGGGCTACTTCCAACAAGAGATTAAAAGTACAGTAAAGCTAAATGAGCATAACTTGCACGCTTACTCTATATAAATACTGTTGACTTGCAACCTGTCTGCATTTAACTTGTGCAATAACAGCTTTACTTGTATGGTGCCTGGCCAGCATGCAATGACACAAATTACCGGTAAACTCACACAAGGCAAAGAGCTGCAAAGCACTTTCTGTGCTAAGTTTTCCTGCCACAGAAAGAGCTTTTAAGCGCTCAGCCTTTCTTACTGGGCTCTGGGAAGGTTTCGCATGGGCTCCTGGAAATTGTGGGAGCTTCTTACCATAGAGCTTGTCTGAGAGGCTCCCTTCCAGAGCAAGGCACGGAGCTTAAAAGCTCTGCCTTAGGTAGGGGCCAATGGCTTCTTTGATGTGTCAGCTCCAGAAAGTTAGAGATGTTTGCACAGGGGAGGTTCCAACAAAATCTAATATCTCTTTCTTTCTTTTTAAATAGATGTTGGTAGTATTTCGAAACCCCAAAGATGCCGCTGTATCCTATTACCATTTTTACAACAAAAACCCTGTTCTTCCAGATGTCAGTTCTTGGGATGATTTTTTTCAAAAGTTCATGAGTGGCGAAGGTAGGTTAGAAGTTCTCACTTTCTGTATTTCTGAAACTTCCCTCAAAGTATTTGTGTAGAGCTTCTGTTCAGATGAAAGGCAAACAAGTTTCAGATCACCAGGACTCTTGATTGCAGGGAAAAGCCCACAGTCGACTTGCATCATTAGTAGATGTCCTTCAGATAGTGGTGGATAGCCAGACTCATCACTGATGGGTAATATGAATTTAGGCATCTTTTCAACACCTGATGATTTGTGTACAGATTTTGCATGTCATAAAAATGGCTGGTTTTTATCAGTGTTGGGTTAAACAGAATGAACGAAGTGTTGTATTCTCATTGTAGGATATGTGCAGCTTTTCCCAGCAACTGATATTATTTTGTATACCCCACCCCACACCGGGGATTTGAAATATGCTGTTTGCATTTCATTTCAGTTTGTTGGCAGTCCTACTTTGACCATGCTCTTGCTTGGGACAAACATATGGATGATGAAAATGTCATGATCATCACATTTGAAGAGCTGAAAGAAGTGAGCATTCTTTGAAATTGAGATAATGATTTTGTTGTGCATTCATTTTCCTTAGATGGCCTAATCAAGCTATAAGTGGAAATTAAGACAGATGTATTGATGGTTGTTGAATTGGTAAAGGGAGAGCAGTTGTTTTGCTTTTCTGTTTCTGATCCCTTCCCCCCCCGTCATTGCCTTTGGTTTTCTTTCCCTTAATAAACCTGTAGTTAATAATTATTAGAAATGTACTCATTTTTCCTCATTCTTGTTATGGAATGAGGTCCTCATCAATATTTTTTTTTGGGGGGGGGATGGTAATCTAAATTAAATGGAGGCCTAAATACTGATCAGATTGTGTTTTAGGTGCCTCTCTCTCTCTCTCTCTCTCTCTCTCTCTCTGTGTGTGTGTGTGCGTGTGTGTGTCTCCCCAGCTGCAACCTCTCCAATCTCCCATGCCAGATTTAGGCTGAAAAACTTTCTGCTGGCTCCAAAAGAAGGTTTTAAAAAACTAAATTGTGATGCTGGGCGGGGGAAGGGATGCTGCAATCTGAGAATCCATCTATATGTTATTATTTTGCACTTCCCAGTTTCAAATAAGAAAAGAATGTTAGATAAACGTTTAGCCTTTATTCCTGGTTATATAGTAGCTATTGCTTTTATTACACCACCCCCTTTTATCATAATTCATTGGAACAATCAAGGGCATAATAAACTTGCCACTTCTCTGGTCTTCACCAAAGGCCTGGTCCTCTGTGTCCTCCTCCCTCCTTGAGAGGGGGATCAAATGGGGCAAGCCCCCTTTTGTCTGAGGTTTGGAAGTTCTTTCTCATCATGCTGCCAAGTACTTTCTGCCGTGTTTCTGCCAGTGTTATATTTTGACTTTTCTTCTGCAACAACTGTTTTTCTTTAGAAGAATGAGTAGTGTGTGCGTGTGTGCATGTGTGCACGCGTGTGTGCATGCGCATTTGGTTTTTGTTTGTTAAGTAGGTTTGGATATTTCAAATAAAAGAAAAATTACAGTTCTGCAGTTCATTAAATACTAAGCACACCAATATGCCAGTCTGATTAAGTATTGTGGTGTAATCTTTCTGGGTGTGCTCGTTCACAGGCTAACTAAGTTTATCAGAAGTAGTGTTCCAAACTTTTAATCATCTCAAACATTTCTGAGTTAAAAGGAATATACAGTAGATGATTAAACATGACATGCTGGAAATGGAAAAAAATGGGTAGCAGAAATCTGGGGAAAAATGCTTTTCAAATCTAAGTTACAGAAGCAAATAGAAAGTTGTAAATGATGTGCTTTTGCTGAGACAATGTTTCTGTACTTTTCATGCTGCACTTATTTTGCTAATATCAAATGCACCTTTTTAGAATAGCTAAAGCACATACATTTATGAATATATTTATTCAGGTGTTTAGCCTGCCCCATTCTTGAATCTTAGGGCTGATTCTAACTTAGAAATCTGCATTAGTACCAAATATATTTATGAAGTCATAACTAACTTTATTGTTATTTTCCAGAATCTTCACGAAGGAGTGAAGCGAATAGCTGACTTTTATGAACTACCTCTGTCTGATGAAATGATTAAGTCTGTTGCAGAGAACTCTACCTTCCAAGCAATGCGGAGCAAATCTGAAGAAACACACGGTATACTTGCTCGTGTCATTTTCAGGAAAGGTAATATTGCTTTTATGCCACTAGTTTACACTGAATTCTCTTTCTTCCAGTAACACAGTGCCCTCTAGAGGTGCCATTTATGGGGGGGGAAACTAAACATTACATTTTGTCAATATCTTGAAAATAGTTTTGATCCATTTCCCTCTTCCTCACTCCCATCCCACATATAGAACCAAAGTTCAAAAACACTAAGAACCCCTAAAAAGCCTCTGTAAGACAATTCTCCTATAATTAGAACAAGGAAGTCTTCTGATCCAGAAGAGTTTGCACATGTCATATTTTCAATAGGCCAAATTAATCTGCAAAAGTAGAAGTTACTTGTGCTGTGACATCACAGTTTTCTGCATTCTCTCCTACCAATGATATCCAACTATGTAGAGTAAGAGGCATAAAAACCATGAGCCCAGGGCAACTCATGTTTTATTATGTCAATAATCAAACAAGACAGTTAAAACTCTGAATAGTGGTCTAGGTGATCTGGGAGTTGGTGGTCCTATTGAACTTGAAAGGTTCTAGGTGGACAAGCACAGGACTGCACAGTGGGATAGTTGGAATTCAGTGGGGCTTATTTGCAAGTAGGTTGGGATAGAAATAATGCCTAAGTGCTCTAACTGTAAACCAATTAGCCACAGTATAAATTACTCCAATACTTTGGCCACCTCATGCTAAGAGAATCATAGAATCATAGAATTATAGAGTTGGAAGAGACCACAAGGGCCATCAAGTCCAACCCCCTGCCAAGCAGGAAACACCATCAGAGCACTCCTGACATATGGTTGTCAAGCCTCTGCTTAAAGACCTCCAAAGAAGGAGACTCCACCACACTCCTTGGCAGCAAATTCCACTGTCGAACAGCTCTTACTGTCAGGAAGTTCTTCCTAATGTTTAGGTGGAATCTTCTTTCTTGTAGTTTGGATCCATTGCTCCATGTCCACTTCTCTGGAGCAGCAGAAAACAACCTTTCTCCCTCCTCTATGTGACATCCTTTTATATATTTGAACATGGCTATCATATCACCCCTTAACCTCCTCTTCTCCAGGCTAAACATGCCCAGCTCCCTTAGCCGTTCCTCATAAGGCATCGTTTCCAGGCCTTTGACCATTTTGGTTGCCCTCCTCTGGACACGTTCTAGTTTGTCAGTGTCCCTCTTGAACTGTGGTGCCCAGAACTGGACACAGTACTCCAGGTGAGGTCTGACCAGAGCAGAATACAGTGGCACTATTACTTCCCTTGATCTAGATGCTATACTCCTATTGATGCAGCCCAGGATTGCATTGAGAAGGATTGAGAAGACTCCCTGGAAAAGACCCTGATGTTGGGAAAGATGAAGGGCACAAGGAGAAGGGGACGACAGAGGACGAGATGGTTGGACAGTGTTCTCGAAACTACTAACAAGAGTTTGACCAAACTGCGGGAGGCAGTGGAAGACAGAAGTGCCTGGCATGCTCTGGTCCATGGGGTAATGAAGAGTCGGACACGACTAAACGACTAAACAACAACAACAACAAATAAATTACTTCACTGTGTAATTTAAACAACACTATTATTTACAATACTACCACATCACGTTTCTTTAACCAGAACCATTTTGACAGGGATAAGCTTCCAGTTTTGTTTATCTTTTTCAATGGTTTCAGACAACAGAATATTTCCACAGATCAAGGCAAGCTTCTCTACTATTTCTTGTGTTTGCATTCTTCTTGATTGGTGTCAAACTCCCCCCCCCTCAAAAAAAAGAATAGTTTTTTTTTACCTGCTGCAAAGATAAGAGACATCTGCAGCAGGTGAGATGGTTTGAGAGTTCTACAAGTTTACAATATACTGAAATTATAATTATGTTAAATTCTCTTATATAGGTACTAGAAGAGTAGCCAGTGCGTTACAAGGAAGTTAGAATGATATTTTTAAAATTTTGCTTTTTAACATTTCAGCCATCATGCTAAGATAATATATTTTATGATGTTTGTGTGTGTGTGTGTGTGTGTGTGTGTGTGTGCTTCTTTTAATTCTCGAAAATCCTTTAGGCTTCTCTTGGGAGGAAAGCTGTGTTTGTTTAATAATAATACAGCTGTATCTCAAAAGTCAAACAGAATCCATTCTGGAAGTCTGTTCGACTTCCGAAACATCCGACTTCCAAAGCGCAGCTTCTATTTGGCTGCAGGAAGATCCTGCAGCCAATCAGAAGATCCTGCAGCCAATCAGAAGCCACGGAAGCCCTGTTGGATTCCCAAAGAATGTTCGAAAACTGGAGCACTAACTTCCGGTTTTCGATCGTCCAGGAGCCAAAACATACAAGTTCTGGGGTGTTTGAGAACCGAGGTACGACTGTAATGATGATGATGATGATGATGATGATGATGATGTTAAAAGAAACAGAAATATTTGAAAAAGAAAACCTTGCAACTGCACGCACATGCACACATATGCCCCTCAAATGTTTCTCTCCACTCACTCTTCACATCCCAAACAGCCCATTCTGATGCATGCTAGTATTGCTCTTCTTTGCTTACTCCCAAGAATGGGTGCATAGGGTTGCAGGATGAGAAGCATGACAGTACACCCTTCTGCTTTAACATTCCAAAACCATAAATCTGATCTGTGAACCTCTATATAGGAAGAAATATGTACAGTGGTACCTCGGGTTAAGTACTTAATTGCTCCGGAGGTCTGTTCTTAACCTAAAACTGTTCTTAACCTGAAGCACCACTTTAGCTAATGGGGCCTTCCTCTATCTCCTTGCCACCGGAGCACGATTTCTGTTCTCATCCTGGAGCAAAGTTCTTAACCCGAGGTACTATTTCTGGGTTAGTGGAGTCTGTAACCTGAAGCGTATGTAACCCGAGGTATCACTGTAGTGAGATTCATTTTTCATTGTTTCTTTATAGGTGCTGTGGGTGACTGGAAGACTTTGTTTACTGAAGCTCAGAGCCGGGAAATGGATTCAAAATTTGAAGAGTGCTTAGCAGGAACTAAACTGGGTGCAAAGCTAAAATATGACCAATATTGTAAATTTTAAACATTTGGATTTGGAGGTTAATATCTGAATCCTTTCGATTAAGAATAAAATGATGTTTAAGTGCTAGATACATCTATGCACAGAATTTTTTTAAAAATGCTCTCAGTCTTTTTTGCTTTAAAAATATTGTAATCAAATCCTTAACATACTAAATGGGAAGAGCATGAAGACCTGCTATGAAATATATTTGGGGCGATTTTCCCCCATAGAAAGCGCCCTGCTGAGCTCCGCAAATATTATGTAATTTACATTTCCAGAAAATGGGGATTTTCCAAGTCAGAGGCAAATGAGAACAGGGTTTGCAAACTCTCAGAGGTAAATGAGAGCATAGCGTGCGAGTGTTTGTGATTCAGAATTGCTTCATCTTCTGCTATATACCTTGTGCACAGAAGCAAATCTGCCTTTTAAAAGGGGTTGTGACAAGACTGAGGCAGCCAACAAGATGGCCAAGAAAAAGTCAAGACTTGTGGAAAAATTAGAGAATCTTTTAGCTATGATTCAAGTGGAGGAGAATGAGGAGCTTCTGTTTACTTATAGTCTTTTTTGCTTTAAAATCATGTAATCAAATTCTTAACATACTAAATGGGAAGAGCATGAAGATCTGCTATGAAATATTTCTGGGGCGGTGATCTCTTCTTTAATGGTTATGTCCTATTTCAGAAGATATGCTGTACTTGTTTTTCCTTCTCAATCATATTATGGAGCCAACCCCCCTCCCCATCCCATTTTGGTATACGCAGTCTATGCCAATAACACTGACTCACCTTGCAGCAATGTTGCAGAGATGACGGAGGTACTCTCTGCAACATGCTTTATAAGCACCTATAATACTTAACATTTACTAATTTCAACAAAACATCTGTCCTCAAAGACAGTGATCCTAGTCCCACAGCTCACAACTGTCTACATGCACACCATACATTTAAAGCACATGGCTCCCCCAAAGAATCCTGGAAACTATGGTTTACACCTCACCACACTACATTTCCCAGCACCCTTAACAAACTGCAATTCCCAGGATTCTTTGAGGGGAAACCATGTGCTTTAAATGTATGGGCTGGATGTAGAATCACAGGTGCATTTAATTCTCACAGCAACTGGCAAAGGCATAACTCCTGATAGAAGCTTAGCAGGCAGTGCATGAGGCTCCTGAATGTTTGAATGGTCTTCACAGTAACAACAAATGTAGAAAGCTACCATGACAAAGTATGGCAGGTGTGGGGAATTGTTGACCCTCCAGATGTTGCTCCCACCATCCCTAGCCATTGGCTGTGCTTGCAGCAACATCTGAAAAGACAAACATTCCCCACACCTGAAGTAATGGCAGATTAAGCCACCTAACACTCTAGGGGTGCTCAGTGGCGTCGCAATGGGGGGGGGGCCGCGCGCCCCAGGTGCCATGTCTGGGGGGGTGTCAAGTAGGAGGGGGTGTTAATTAATTTTATAACAAATGATTTTAGACTGTTGTTTATGCTGTACTTTTGTACTGTTTTATTGTTGTTAGCTGCCCTGAGTCTGGCTTCGGCTGGGGAGGGCGGGATATAAATAAAATTTATTATTATTATTATTATTATAGGAACCCTGCGGGGGCTTGCCATCGCGCAGCCACAGCCACATGTGGAGGATCCTCTGTTCGTGGCTGCAGCTGCGAGCAGAGGATCCCAGTACCGGCGGCAAACCGCTTTGTACAGCGCATGTGCAGCATCGCACGCATGTGCTGTATGTAACATGCGCTGTACGTAGTGATTTGCCACCCTGGGTGTCACGACGGCTTTGTTCGCCCCTGGGCATGCTGCTAAGATGGAAGACAGCTAAGATCCATAATTCCATTACTCAAGCCAGTTCTGGAAAACATTCACCGATCCATTCATTTCTATGCCGCTTTATAATTTAAAGAAGAAGAAAACCTCCAAGAGGTTTACAGCCTACATCAAACCATCAAAAAAGCAATGCAAAATAAAACATTGCAGAGGAAAGTCAAGTTATAAAGCATGCATTCAAAGCAACATAATAAAATTAAGACATTACCATAACCGTTGCAAAATAACACTTTATTAAAGGGAGTCAGATAAAGTTAGATGACCAATGATTCAGTCTGGTATGCCCCCCCCCCCCCGATGCCTCTGAACCAGAACCCATTTTGAGGCGCAGTTATAAAAACAACCGGGGGTGGGGGCTCTGCTAGCGACCAAGCTGGGCGGTGACAAGACCAGGCCAGAAGCTCCAAGGATGGAAGCAGTTTCTTTTGTTGGATGATATTCACCTAAAAAGTCCCACCAGTGGAAGCTGTGTGCAATGACTTCTGCCTGCAAAGCAAGGCTTTCCTCTCTCTCCTTCCCCCGCGCACCCCCATGCCCTTTCCAAAATTTGTTGGGGGGGGGGGGAGAATCAGGTGAAGGAGAGGAGAGATTGTTCTGTCTGGCAAACTAAAATGCTTGTGCTGATGGAACAATCTAAAGAGTGCGACATTGAATTTATTGTGTGTAGACTCTTCAGATATAAAAGCATGAGAAGAGTTACAGTTATATGCAGGCCAGTCTGACATATTGGCTAGCATAGCAGAATGTCTCACCAGATAAAGTGTGTTTTTAATTGTGTTTTTAATATTCGATTGCGAGCCACCCAGGTGTCTGGGAAAACCCAGCCAAATGGGCAGGGTATAAATTATTATTATCAAGTTCAAGTTTATTGCGGCCAAAGCCAGTGACACTAAACATCCCAAGATCAGATAACAAGAAATCAGCAACAACTTCAGAAAAGAAAAAAGGTTACACAAGGGAACTTCGCAGTGTGCCATTCGACAGAAGAGATTTACGTTTCTTAATTACTAAAGTGCAAAATTTAGCCACCTCATATGATACTGAGCTTGAGGAATCTTCCAGGAGGTATTTTCGAAGAATTTCAGGGAGGATTCCAAATAATATTGAAGGGGTATAAATTTTGATAAAAGCGGTAAAATAAGTTGAGCTCGTTCTTCACTATAGAATTCGCAAGATAGAAGAATGTGTGTGACAGATTCTACCTTATTAGACATACAAGGGCAGAGACGCGCATGCATTGGAACCCGCGTGAATTTGCCGTACAGCACTGCTGAGGGCATTGTCTCAAAGCGGGCTCTAGAGAAAGCCCATCTATAGGCTTCGCTAGTGATGTTGGTTAAGTAAGGGGCAGCTGTAAAATTAGGCCAAGCTTTTAAACATCTATACGTCTCTGGGAGTAGGGCGCCTTCTTGTTGTAATTCGATATCATAAAGTCTCCGAGTAATAGTAGCTTTTGCCTTGTTCAGAGTTCCAATAAAAATATTTTCAGGGTTTAGGCCAATTTGTTTGATCTTGTTAGTTATTTGCATAAGCCAAGGAGGATAGGGAACTGCGGCCAGGAAGCAAGGTAATAGACCCTTAGGATTGTAATGGATTTTCAGCCAGAGGGATATTGCTTGTTCCCAGACTTTTAATTCCACTCTGGGCAGTCCTGCCTCTTGCCTTAAGACTGCATTAGGTGTACACTTAGGGGTAGCAAATAATGATCTTAAGAATTTAGATTGTACTGTTTCAAGGGTCTTAAGGTTGGCAGAGGGGCTAATTTGAGAGCCATATAGAAGTTGGGCTAAAGATTTTGCCTGAAAGACTGTTAGGGCCATCGGGAGGAAGCCAGCTCCTTTCCTTCTGAATAATCTAAGGATAGCATTTGCACTTCTTTCTGCTGATATAGCTGATGTGGTCAAGTGTGCTGAGAATTTGGCATTATAAGAGAAAGTAATGCCTAAATATTGGAAGGTCTTAGTCTGTTCAATGGCGTTTCCCTTTACGCTCCAATTATCCTTCCTGAAGGAGCGGTTAAAATGTACAATTTTGGTTTTGGCAAAGTTAATTGTTAGCAGTTCAGTGTTACATTGGTCACTAAACTTTCCTAAGGCACGTTTCAGACCCACTTTGGTTTGAGAGAGAAGAACGGCGTCATCCGCATACATTAAAATTGGTACTTTTCTGC